TGCCTGGGTTGGCCTACTGGCCCTGAGGAGCCCGTTCTAAGCCTTCCCTCCTTGGAGACAGGTGGCTTTGCTGTCCCGGTTTATCACCTAGCCCTTCCTGCTTTCTCTAACCCTTTTTCTGTAGCACGTGCCCCCCCATCTTCAAACTGGCCCAGGCAGCAAAGAGAAAGCCAAGGCGGTAACTAAAGGGAAATTGAATCCCGGAGTTGCAGAGGGAGGAGGTTGTGTGATCCAAGCGCTCTTGTCACAGGTCATGACAGCCCCCTCCCCCTGGACTGAAATTTTACCTTTTATCTTCTTGAAATGTTAATGTACTACAGACTCCAACCTCCTCATCCCTTTCTGGGAATCCCTCCCTTCCCTATTGATCCCAGAGGGCCCATTTAAATCTTGGTTTCACCATTAGCAAGATTTGGGACTGAACAACTTTAGGTAACCTCTGAAGTGGTTTGAGTTGACACCGTCTTTTGTTTTGAGATTTCATGCTCATTTTTTCCTGGTTAGCACCCCAGTCCAAACCCTATATTTTAGATTTCACATCTGAGCTTCAGCCTCAGGCCAATGAGCTCACACACAATGTTTGTCTTGGCTCCACTGCCTGACCCAGACAGGGACACAGGCTGGCAGACCAAAGGGGAAGCGAAACCCAGTCCTGACTCTTGCCAAAGATGCAGCCAGCCAGCCTGGGGCTCAGACAGCTCCCTTGGGGATGTGCAGCAATGCCCGCTGGCCTTGGTTCGCATCTCTGGGTCTTTGTTGCTGGCTTCTGTTCTGTTCAAACATAGCAGCAGCCACAATGGGTAGAGATGTTGAGTGATGCAGGTAGTCTGAGGAGGTGATGAGTCTCCAAGTCTCTCTGACCAGACGTCATGACCATATTCCAGGTCTGACCCAGGCCATCGCCATGCCCCACTTCTCATCAACATGTGTGCCCTGCCCCCCATTGTAGCATTGACTGGAGTAAGCCCAGCCCACCTGTGGGACCTGCCCTCCCAGACTGCATGCCCTTAACATCCACATTTGTCAGGTATGTCTCTGTGCTTCAGGTACACAGCCTACCCCTGGGAAGTCGAGGCAAGCACCAAGGTTCAGACTGTAGGGCTCAGCTTGGGAATCCACCGTTCTGGAGCCTGTAGGATACAGGAATGTGAGACTTTGTGAAGTCCCGGTTCCTAAGGACAACTGTAGACACTCTGCATTTGGGCTGGGCTGTGACACCATCCTAGCTGCCTTTTGGGATCCTGTGACCTGGTATGCAGTCCAACTGCCACTCACAGCACCTTCTTATAAGGGAACACACTGTGGTTTATTCACCTGATCCACATTCGGAGCCCAGGAATGCATCGGCAGAGCCATTCATGCTGAGGGTTGAGTTAGAGGAGTTCAATGCTGACCACTCTCAGCCTAAGGGACTTAAGGGGCTGCAGGGCTAAGCCCTGGGTCCCCATCTAGAAATGACCATCAGGAGAATGAGAAGACATATGTGAGTCAGTGGTAAGGCCCCCTATGTAGCACTGCACAATCTCCAACAGTCTTTACAATGACCTGGACCACTTGTGCCTTTGCAAAGGTCTTCCATACAACTCTCTGGAAATACGTGGTGCTGAGAGACTTTGAATCTGAGGGTGGGGCTCTGGCCTTGGCTCTTTCTGAGTCATGTGACTGCACTTGGCAAAGCTGCTCTTGGGAGAATGCCACACCCCCTTGGCCTGCAGAAGAACCCATCTCATCCTTGTCAGGGCGCCCAGCAGCTTTCCTTGAAAAGGTCTGCACTTATATGGAAGTATTCAAAACCTCAGGCCAGGACAGACTAAAACCTCCCCAGCTCTTGGTTCTGAGGCTGAGCATCATTGCCTTTGGTGACAACTGACCTTACCCTTGGGTCATATGTGTCACTGCCAATCAAATAAGCTTCCTTATAGGTGGTCAGTGGATTCTTCTAAGAGACAGACAGCAAAGTGGGTCAACACATCTGCTTGTCATAAAGCACTATATGTTGATATTTCTCGGGCTAAATAGCTGAGCCCCATGGCTCTAGTCCTAAGAAGGAGGCTGGAGATGGCTACAGGTCTTCATGGCTATAATGTCAGCTGTCTCAGACCTTGTCTGCTGTCCCGTTTGGCCCAGCAGAGACCTGAATGCTCACAGGGAGCACTTGGTGTGACTCACTGCAGGAAGTGTGGTCAACCCAGACTGAGGACAGCCTGGGTAATATGGGGCAGCCATGTGGGCTGACCATTGCTTGCTCGGCTCAGCCCTGTTCCTTCTACTTCTGCATCTGTCTCCCCTCCTCAGGTCCTGTACCAGAGGGGATGGCAAGTGAGGATGGTGGGTAGCACAGGGTGGCTCCTTCTGATCAAGGCTGCTTGCCTTCTCTCTGCTCCACACTATTACCATCCTCTTACGTTTCCACCTCACAGAGGGAAAAAGAGGCCCAAGTGGCCAACATTCCCACCAAGCTCCAGAACCATGGAAACAGCAAAGCCAAACTCACAGCTAAGCTTTCTTGAACTGAGCTGATGCTATGTTGGTGCCTCTGTGTCTTATGGGTATAAACCAGCTTTCTATAGATCCTGCCTCAATGATGCTTCAGGGTCCCTTAGAGGGTGTTTTCCTTTCATGACTGGAGCCATGTGCCTGCTGGTCTGCTCCTGGACTCTCCCTGAATTGACCACTGATGTTGAGAACTCTCCCCCTTGGCAGAACTGAGACCCAGAGGTTAGCCTTGTCCTCTGGAATGGGACAAGTCAAAAGCTTGGCCATCTCCTCTTCTGGCTCCATCTCCCTCCCTCAGCCTTTGCAGAATGTTGCTGGTACCAGAATGGCTGTGGGACTACCTTGAGGTACCCAAGGATAGCTGCTCTGTTAGGAACAAAGTTGACCTCATTCAGGATCTTGTTCCATGGAGATATGAGATCCAGGGATCCAGGGGCACATGGCTCTTGGGAGGAACCTCACAGAGGACTTCAGGTAGATGGTACACCATGGCAGAAGTGGGATCTGACTTGCTTTCTGTCTGTATTAGTCACTTTTCTGTTGCTGTGATAGAAACACTGACCTAAGCAATTTATAGAAGGAAGAGTGTATTTGAGCTTACAGTTCCAGGGGAATTACAGTCTGTCATGGCAGGGAGGCATGGTGGCTGGAGGTGGCTGGAGCAGGATCGGCAAAAGCTAAGCTCTCATATCATCATATAGGCACAGGAAGCAAGGGAACAACTAGAGATCCCGCAAGGCTTAAGAACTCTGCAAGCCCACTAGAGATCCCACAAGGCTTAAGAACTCTGCAAGCCCACCCGCAGTGATGTGCTTCCTCCAGAATAGCCACACCTTCTAAAACCTCCCAAAACAGTGCCATCATCTGGGGACAAAGTGTCCAAATACTTGGAGCCTATGGGGAACATTTTCATTCAAACCACCACACTGTTGACAGGCAACAGCAACGTTCCTCACTGGGAGTTGTGGGTTGTGATCTGGGTGTGAGTGGCCTACATTGGGTCCAAAAGTCTGCTAGGTGACAAAAAAGAGCTAGAAATGAGGGGCTTGGGAAAGGAGAGAGGGACGCAGGGCTGATGGACAGGAAGCTTGCTGTAGACCTGAAAGTACTGATCATGTGGTGGCTCTCTACTTCTCCCTGAGCCATTCTGCCTCTAATAAAGCCCCCCTCTGTGAGCTGCAGCACTGTAAGATTCCTGCTGAGTCTATTTCTACTGAGTTATTAGAGGCTAAGAGCAGTTAATTCATTGCCCTTCTCAGAGGTGAACAAATTAAAAAATACCTTTTGGGGGCAGGAGAGATGGCTTAACCCTGAGGAGCTCTTGCTGTTCTTACAGAGGACCTGAGTTTGGTTCCCAGCACCCACATTAGATGGCTCACCTATAACTCTAGCTTCAGGGGATCTGATGCCTTCTTCTGGACTTCAAGGGTACCCCCTACATGCACATATACACAAACATACACATCAATGAAAATAAATCTTTAAAAAAATTTTGGTTATTGTACAATTTATATAGTGTAACATGTATGTTTTCTGTAGTAAATCAATCAATTCAACTATTTTTGTTTTGTTGTGTGTTTTCTGGCTTTCATGCACTTGTATAAACAGGGTTCATTTAAACATCTTCACTGGACACGACATTGTCCTCCCTGGGGACTCAGTGGTGCCACTGAGAATCTGGTTAGAAAAAGCATCCTCTCCAGTGTTGGCATGCCATCCTCTTTCTTTGTTTCTTTCTTTTTTTCCTTCCTTCCTTCCTTCCTTCCTTCCTTCCTTCCTTCCTTCCTTCCTTCCTTCCTTCCTTCCTTCCTTCCCTCCCTCCCTCCCTCCCTCCCTCCCTCCCTCATTTATTTCTTGGTACAAATTCTGGTGGATTTAACCAAAGTTTTGCAGGACTGAGTCTGGTGTGAGACAAGACCCTGAGCGGTGTGGATTTGAAGTTGGCTGCTGTAAGCTGGAATATGCTATAGAGTTGAGAAGACTTAGTGTAAAACCAAGAACGTAAAACATCTCATTCATAGCTTTTAGGGCACTGAGGGAAATGAGATACAGGTCACAGGGTACAAAGCTGCAGCCATGTAGGAAAAGCTGACTCACACAGTCTGGGGCCTCCCTCCAGTTAATGGTAGCACACAGAAGACAGGCTGAGGGAGTGGGTTTTAGGGGTTCTTACAATACACAGAGAAAGAAGGTGACTGTGTGAGGTGATAGGCATGCAGATTTGCCTTACCCCTGCAGTCACGTTTCTGTGCCTATGGATATGAAAATAATGACATCAAACCCATCAGGTTGTACTCCTTAAAGATATATAAAAACAGTTTTTATATTGGTTACATGTTGAAATGATATCATCTATATATAGAGAAAAATGTTACCAAAATTAATGTTATCTGTTTTTATATGACTATTAGAACAATTACATTTATTATTTTGTGTGTGAGAGAACATGTGTGCATGTGGAAGTCAGACAACAACTTGAGGGAGTTAACGCTTTCCTTCCACCATGTGGGTCCTAGGATCAAACTCAGGTCATCAGGCTTGGCAGAAAGTGCCTTTACCCACTGGGCTGTCTTGTTGGCCTGAATATTAGGAAAGAGTGTATTAACAAAGATAAATTGCAAACAAACATAATTTTGGATGGGGAAACGTTATAAAGTGGTAAATCAAGTAGGAAACCACTTAAGAATGTTTAAAACTATGCAGAATAACAGCATGAAGAGCTCCATGCATATACAGCACAGACATAATTTTAGGATCATACATTAGAACTTCAGATCATTCATCTCTTTCCCAAATTCTCCTGACCTCAGAGCCCTTTTCTACTTCAAATTTCTTTTGGCATGTTCCTGAATGAGGGTCAGAACCCAGCCAGCAAATGCTGATTTGAAGGTTTTATCTCTATTGATTGGGTAGGGACTGCTCAATAGGCAGGGAGCTGTTTTTGAAATAGGTGACACTGAGGTGACTATTTCTGCCTTACATGTGAGATCAGGAGGCGGAGACACTTCATATGAAAGGCCCAGGGCTGCAGGGAGGCAGCAGAAAGAAGCCCAGGAATGTAGGTGATGGACCAGTGTGCATGCTTGGGTCCTGGCCAGCCACTCAAGCAACCGCTTCTCTCACTTCAGTTTCCTCCACTGTGGGCTGAGGAGGACACAGTTCACATTTGATGACTATCTCTAGGATTAAATGAAATGATCACCTAAGTATTTGTCGGTGAAAAAGAATAGAACATATCTTGTCACTGCAGGGCCTGAGGCTCTGCTCTATACTTGCCCTGATCAGTTTCCCTTCTGTCCCAGCCAAGATCCTGATTTGTCCTTGGTTGGTCACAGGTGTCATGACCACTGTACAGAGCACAAAGGTGAAATAGGATCTGTGGGAACTTCAGAAAGGGATGAGTCTGCTGTAGGAAGCTGGAAAAATGCCCCGGCCATGAGCACGTTGCTCAGTCAGAGCCCAGGCAGGACTTGGACAAAGTCCATTAGTGCCCATGCATAGTTGAGTAAACCTTGAGAGCCTTGTTGGTCCTTCTTGTCCTAGGTCACGTGACCTCCTAGGGAGCCTGCTGAGAATCCAGAAAGTAAAATGCCCTGACAAGGCAGGACAACAACTTCCAGAGAGGAAAGGCTTATTTCTTTGGCCTTTATTCAGTGTTTCTAAGGAGAAAAGGATAACTTTTAGAGATTTCCATAAATCACCAACTACCAATTTAAAAGATAGATTTCAGGGTTGGAGAGACGGCTCAGTGGTTAAGAACACTGGGCATATCTTGCAGAGAACTTGGGTTTGGTTCCTAAAACCCACATAGTAGCTGGCTAACAGCCATCTGTAACTCCAGTTCCAGAGGATCTGGTAACCTCTATGGGCATTGCATACACATGGTATACTTATATACGTGCAGGTAAAACATCATACACACAAAAAAATTTTTTTTGTCTTTTTGAGACAGGGTCTCTCTGTAGCTCCAGCTGGCGTGGAACTCACTATAGACCAGGCTGGCCTTGAACTCACAGAGATCCACCTGTCTCTGCCTCCCAAGTGCTGGGACTACAGGCATGTGCCACCATGCCTGGCACAAATTTTTTTTTTTTAGAAGACAAAGTTGATTTTTAAAACCTTGTTTTTTCTTTTTTCTTTTCCTTTCTTTCTTTCTTTCTTTCTTTTTCTTTCTTCTTTCTTTCTTTTTTTTTGAGACAGGATCTCCCTTTAGCCCCAGATGGCCCAGAACTCTCTATGTAGACCAGGTTGCCTTCTATCTCATAGAGATCTGCCTGCCTCTGTCTCCCATGTGCTGAGATTAAAGGTGTGTACCATTATGTGCAACTAAAAGCTTGTTTTCTTGGGGGCTGGAGAGATGGCTCAGCAGTTAAGAGCACTGGCTACTCTTGCAGAGGGCTTCAGTTCCTGGGTTCAGTTCCCAGTACCCACATGGCCACTAATAACCATCTGTAACTCCAGTTTCAGGGGGATCTGACAGCCTCTTCTGACCTCTGCAGGCATGACATGACATGGGTGCATTCACATACATGCAGACAATACACTCATACACAAAAAATAAAAATAATAAAATATTAGGAAAAGCTTGCTTTCTAGACAGAGTCAGCAGAGATTTAAAAAAAACAAAAACAAAAACAAAACAACACCAGCTCATCTGCTGTGAGAAAGCCTCTAAGTGCCAGGCCATGCCCTCACCCACCTTCTGCCTGGTTATGGAACACAGACTAAGTGGAGTGAGCCGACCCTTGGAAAAGAAGCTGTACACAGGGGCACTTCTGGAGTCTCCAGGAAACACTGAGCTTCCATCTTCCTCCCCCTTTCCTTTTTTTTTTCTTAGCATTTCTACATCCCACTTAAGACAAACAGAAAAAGGGATTCAGAGGTTTCTGTGGAAAAGCCCCTGAAACTTTTATCTCAGTTTATGAGAACAAAGGGAGTCATTTGGGAAGCAAAGACCTGAAACAAGCTCTCTGAACTGAATGTTGTGATATTTACAAATGAGTCATAGATGCCTCTGTAGCTGGGCCCACCACAGCCACTGTTCTATGCTAGCTGGACGTTGTCTGGGATCGAGGAGCAACCATACTCTGTCCTTCAGCCCCTTTGCCCACCTGCTGTTCATTATGGTCCTCCTGGAATGTTAGCTGGGCACTGATGCATCAGCTTTCTCAGCCTTTTCAGATGGCAAAGGACAGGTGGGCAGAAGGGATCCAGGTGGTCTCTGAGTTACAGTCTTAGAAGGACCAGGCTGGCCTCCCTGCCCCACTTTTGCAGCTGGGGATCATGAAGGGGAGTTGACTCCTGGGTAGCAGTCTATAGTAACATTGTTTCTGAGCCATCACAGGGCAGCTTAGGCTCTGCCACTCACTAGAACCCAGACTGTGGTATATTGACCTGAACCAGCTGTAGCAGGTAGCCCCTGACACCAGCCCCCACCCCACCAACCCTGTGAGTTGTTCTGCCTGAATCCTGTCTGCCAATGGGGCCATGGAGGCATCTCCAGAGGTAATATTTGGAGAGCAGTGAGCTGGGTGGGAAGTCATGATGCTGAAGTAATCCTTTGGAAGTAAGTGATTGTGGTGTCTGAGGGCTCCAGAGGGCTGAGGGTCACGGACACTCAGCTGGGCCCTGTCTCTGCTAATAAGAGTGATCTCAGACTATGGGAACCATCTTGCCCAGAGAACAGGGATAGTGTCTGACCCACAGTCTCCACATCTGTCAACAACACCCAGTCAATCACCCTGCCACCATCTTCTCTGTGTAGTGCTGAGCAGATGTGGCCTCCGTACAACACTGGGCTCCAACCTCCTCATTCATTTACTCATTCTTCAGCAAATGCTTGTTGAAGGACTACTGTGTGCTAGGTGCTATGCCTGGCAAGGACTTTGCCATCACAGGACTCATACTAGAGTGAGGGAACAGACACCAAATACCATGAGGTGATGATGTTTGCATTGGCGCCATGCTGACAGGCTCTGTGGTGATCAGAGGCTGCAGCAGGAAGATACACAGGCAAGGAAGACTCTTCCGAGCTAATATACACTGTGGCCAGCGTCTGAGACAGACACGAGGGACAACAAGAGCAAATGTCCTACAGCTCTGGGGATCATGGTGAGGTTGAGGGACTGATAGGAAACTCTGTGTCAAAGTCATTGATAGCACAGGGTGGACAGAGAGGCCAGCTTGGTGGATTGGGCCAGATAGCATGGGGTTGCACAGGCTGGAGCTGGAGTTTAGACTTGAACCATAGTGTGAAGTCATTGGAGTATTTTAAACAGAAAGACATGGCTTGATTTGCATATCAAAAAGATTACCCAGCAGCTGTGTGAAGAATGCCTTTTAAAAGCACAAAAATAGAAGTAGGAAGACCAGTTAGGAGGGTATTGCAGCAATCCTGGCAGGAAGTAATAACTTAATATCCCCATTTCACGGAGGCTGGAGAAGACACTTGTATAAGCACACATAGCAGGTAGTAAGCTGTGTTCTCATTTGCATGGTGAATCAGTGTGAAAGCCTTTTTACCTGCCACTGCACTTGAAGCCAGAGCAACCCTAGGATGGATTAATACTGGTTCCTGAGCTAAAACAAGGCTCCAAGAAGTTGGGTCTTTAGGTTAAGAATAGTTGAGAACCTGGAACCTGGTTTAACCCCAGGCCTCCTTACCCATCTAGGCTCTGTCTACTTCCTGAAATCTCAGGCAGGGTTTCCCAGGTCAGAAACAATGGGCAGAGAGGCCAAACTCAGTAGTCAAGGTCTAGAGTCCTGTAGGCTACAGCCCGAAGGGCCTGAGAGGAGCTGGGGAGGTTTGGGGAGGAGGGCGGGGGAGATCAGGCTCTGCTGAGGGTGGGAGAATAGATTAAATAAGATGTACTTGGGCTTCCAGTCACCTAAAAATCTAGTCAGAAAAAATGGAAGGCTATCTATAAATAATTTAAGAATGTCTTGCAGATGAAAAGATAGGTCCAAGAATAAATAACTTCAGAAGGAACCTAAATCTTACCTTTGGGGCAAATGGGCCTGCGTATCATTTTGAAGGCACCGTTTTCACTTGGGTCTTGATGGCCTGCTGGGGCAGTTAGTGACCTGTTAATAAGATCACCCACATTGGCTGAGCCAGGCTGGACTGGAGCAAATCTTTCCCCAGTCCCCCCATTGCTGCCCAGCAAACCCCAATCCCCCATACTTAGAGCCAAATACAATCACTGCTTTATGGACCTCATGAATTCTGTGCCTCAGGAATTCAGGAGGGCAGAGTGGAAGTGGTTAGGCACTGACTCAGGCTTGCCTAGGCCTCAGCTGCAAACTTTATTAGCTGGGTGCCAGAACCTGGGACCCTCTGATGGCTCTATGCCAGGAGCTCTGGCTGGGGAGACGCCAAAGCTGGGCTGAACCAGCTGCTGCTCAGTGTGTTTCTCATGGTAGCTCCATTGACTGAGGATTCCTTATGGCATCTGGTCTCCACGAAGTCCCGCCTTAGCCATGTATGTCAGAGCTTCCATTACAAAGGCTACAGAGAAGGCAGAAGCCACATGGCTCTTACAATCCACCTGGAGGCACCTCCACCCTGGTCATCGAGGCAAGTGCATCAATCCCAAGTGAGTTCCAGAGTGTCGGAGTGCCATCCCCTCCCTCCTCATGGAAAACCATTCTCCTGTGAAGGATTAATGAAACTGGGAAATGAGATATCCATAACCCATGGACAGCAAAGATATCTCAATATGAAATGAATTTGAGCACAGAATTGTGCTATGGTATAATCAATAAAATGCTAATATTTTAGTCCATGGACCAGAACACAGAAGCACTTGCTATTATTTTGTGGTGTGTGTGTGTGTGTGTGTGTGTGTGTGTGTCCATCCCAGTGCTGAGTACAGAAAGAAATGGGGACAGCTGGCCAGCGTGTCAGTGCAGGTGTTTACTGAAAGGTTCATTTTGATTGGGTTTTAAAGGAGGAAAGAAAAATGTTTACTTCAAGTGAATGCTGCTTATAAACAAATCCCTTCATCAAGGCAAGCCCCACAAGTCTTATATACTCGGCAGTACTTAGTGAGAACAGTTACTGTGTGCTTGAGATAAAAATAGAAGGAAAGAGCACATTGGAAGGAAAAATAGAAGATGCCCTAGAAGAGGAAAAATCAGAGTGCTTATGTGAGACATACCAGGGAAAGCGTGCTTTGGCTGTTGATGCTCCTGGGGCCCCAGGGCCATACTGTCTTGAAGCCTTTGACAACAAAGTTGTGTTGATTTCAGAGGGTGTGACAAAAAGGCTCAAGCTCCTCTTAATAGAAAGATGTGGTGTGTGTATGTGCACCCAACGAAAGAGCTATCCAGGATGATTTGATCCTCTACCATTGCTTTTAAACAGCTTTATGAAAGATAGCTCACCCACCATGAAGTCCATACACCCACACATATTTGAGCATGCATACATGTACCACACACACATACACTCATTCCCATCAGCAATCAGCCCCATTACACTACACTGCCAGCCCAAGGTGACCACTGACCCACTTTTGTCTCTGCTCTGGACATGTCACACACACCTGTGAAGCAATTCTTCTTCTGGCTTCTTTCTCTTAGTGTGACACTCTCAAAGCTCATGCCGGTTTCAGCCTCACTCCTTCCTGTTGGTGGACAGCATTCCATCACACACTTGTCGGGAGCTGGAGAAACAACAATCATTACCAAAAAATATAATATAGCTCTACAAACAGTTGACTTAAGCAGGAAATTCTGCCTGCACTAGTAACCTTGAGAAAGAATTTATGGCAAGGTTATCTTTCTCTTCCTCTTGCAAACAGTTCTCGGAAAGATAAGTCATGCAGTAATCCCTTGGAACACCTGGCGGTCAGTCACATTGCTGAATTGCTCAGTCCCCCTCCCATACCCATAAAAATGCTGTAACCTTTTAACCAACTTTCTCAACCCCTTCTAAATACAAACTGTATATAAGGAAAGCTTGCAGTAAAATAAAGCAGGGCCTTGACAAGTGGGCTTGCTTAGGCTCCGTCTCTTCTTTCTTGCCCGTTTTTATTTTCAGGGAGTGGTCCCCCTCGAGCTTTACCTGTACAGGGTCCCCACAGGCAGGGGCAAATGGCGCCTAAACGTGGGGCTCGAGGTACGGACCCTTGCCAGACAGAGATGGTTGAAGACAGACCCGGGTACGCATTTGAGGACGGCCTCCGACAAAGTGAAAGGAACTGAACCGGATCGCCGTCGTTTGATCTGCACTCTCACCGCTCATGAGGAGCTGCTGATCTGAGGTAAGTAAGTGGTCTCTGTCTCAAAAAATGGGCCAGCAACTGTCTAA